ACCCTCACCGTCAATCCAACATAAATAAATATATATCAAAAAAGTTTTAAAAAAAAAGTCCCCTACCCCCACGTTTACGCACATATAAATGTAAATACGCATCCGATGTGCCAGCGCCCGAAAACGACAATTGCGCTACACATATGTTACATATCGCCGTGAACATCGCAGTGAGAGCAATCATTCTAGGGCCATCAATCCCCGATAACACTAAACTGATGAGCGGTAAAAGCTTTTAAAGGGTCCCCTATGGCCAATTTAGGGTATTGTAGTTTTGTGAGGTTTCGTGCGCGCAATTTTAAGGCTTAACATATTTGGTGTCTTTTTACCCGACGTGACCCCGTCTTTTATATTTGACAAAAAAATTGGGTAATAATAATATAGTTAATATAGGGGAAACTGTTTTTTTTTTAAATTTCGGTAATTTTTCCTTAATATAGTAAAAAATAAAACCCCAGTGGTGATTAAATACCACCAAAAGAAAGCTCTATCTGTCCCCAAAAAATGGTATAATATGTATTTCAGTACAGCGTTGCATGACGGAATAAATATCAGTCAAAGTACCGCAGCGCTGAATACTGAAAAATGGCCTGGCCAGGAAGGGGGTTTAACACCGCGGACTTCAACTGATTAAATGGCCTCTAAAGCACTAATTTATTTATTAGTATCCCACAGTAAGCTAAGAGTATAAATACCAAAAACACAAGTATTGTGCTTTTCTAAAATTAGGCTCATTAGGCTCAAGGACATTATTTGCCTCCATAGACAGCCTGCAGTTTTCTAATTCCACTTTTAATTTAAGCCCCAAAAAAGCTTAATGTAAATAAAGACATGAGAAATGTGTGTGCAGTTCTCATAATATTTATGATTTTTTATGCATGTCAATAAACTATGACTCTAATGTTTGCATGCTTTAGGCTTAGCATATTTATTTGTTATTCAGATGTGCATTGAGTGCCAGAAGGCTGGAATGCATCTGCTGCTATCTGGATGTAATGGTGAGTGTTAAACCCATTTGCAATATACTTTATATCTAGCACTGAAGAATGTAGATACATTTGTGTTGTAATTCAGACACGTTTAATTCAAATGTTTTTATAAAAAAATGTTTGTATGTATAGATTGTATGCGAATATATTCTCCACTTATAACCAAATATGATAACATTACAAGGAGTCAGAATGAAATGACCTTGGAGTAATATTTTTTGTCTACAGTTTACTGCAACTTTGCAGTCCCAAATCTAAAACCCTGAAGTTCCTCCTCCTTTCTTTCTGGCTCTAATTTTAGGTTTGCAATATTAATTAGTGTACATATTATAGCACTTTCTGGATCTCATATATAATAATCTTTTGAAACTGAGTATAACTTATAAACTTACAGCATCTTGCTTTCATTCTAGCAAAAGTTCTTAGAACATTGGTGTCCATTGGTATCATGGATCATCTCACTGAAGAGCAGGTCTTTATAACTCTGCATGATGCTGCCTGTTATGCTGAGCAAAATATGGTAAAGGATAGAAGTTTTTTTTTATAGGGTTTATTCAGCTGTGTTAAATGATGTATAGTAAGTGTGATATTATAGCCACAGGTATGTGCAGAAGGAAGGGGTCACCATATTGAAAAGTGAGCAGTGGCTAGCTTCTTTCTCTGCGTTCTTACAGGAAAATGAGGCAATGTCTGCTTCTACCCCTACTTTTACCTGTGCCTTCTATAGATGCTGTTTAGCTGGAAGATGAAGTTAAAGGAGAACTATGGGGTAAGTGTTTTTCCCCATAGTTCTCCTAAGGGTCACGGAAGGACATAAACTAACATATACCCAAAGCTACAGCTCGCGGTATACTGAGACCGCCGCAGCCGGGACGGATCCCGACATTACTGTCGAGATCCATCCAGCTGTGTGATTGACAGCTGGCTCTGCCTATCTAGAGGCAAAGCCAGCTGTACCCGCCCCCTCCCCGTCCGTTCCGCCTGTTAGCGTTGGAGGAGCGGGGAGGGGGGAATCCCTGCAAGGAGCCGTGAGTGACAGTCCCGGCTCTCTGCAGGGACATGATCAAGAATTGAGCAAGCGACAGTATGTGTTCGCTCACGTCCCGATCTATTGAGCCGATGTGTGACAGTTTCATTGTCACGTGTCAGCTCGAACTATGAGGATGAGTGGAAATCACTCACCTCATAGATCTCCTTTAAATGAGCCCCGTAGACTTCCTAATCCCTAAGTATCATTTATCAAAGAAGTGTTTTCCCTCATTATGTCTGAATAAAAGGCCTCAGTCAATTGATTGATTTCGATCCATGCTCAATCTGTTAAATAAATACAATGTAAAAGTTTTAATATAGCTGTGGGGTCTCACTGGCGCTGACCTGGAATAAAACGGAAGAAGGTTAAAAAAATGTTCAAACCTTCTTTTTTCACTCTTAGCCCTTATTGAATAATGTCTTGAGAGTGAAACAATGGAGATGCCAAGGGAGGCACCTATGTTAGATTGTGCTTCGAACATCAATTGCCCTCAATCTGGCTTCTCTATAGTTACTGACCATCTCCTGTAACTTTTCTGAAGTCTCTGACCATCTTCCATAGCATGTCTCCTGCAGCATGACCACATCAACTGATCATATTCCGTAGCATGTCAGCAATCAATGACCATCTCCCCTACAATGTATCTCCAATTTCTGACCAGTCTACAGGTTCTAATCATATCCTGTTGTGTGCCTGCAGTCACTCAACATATACCGTAGCATATAGGAGTACTATATGTAGTAATAGGGTTAAACTTTTTTTAGAAATTAGAAATGTTTTGGGAGGAAAATATTACTAAATATAATGTTAGGTTCTCAGCCCCTGCTACCCAAGGAGATTAGATTACCACCATTTGTATAAACTATGCTGTGATTAGTCATTCTTGCTTTCCATTTTGAGATTGGTGTTTTCCTGTCTACGTTTTCATTTGATTTTTTTTTTCATTCCCTCACACAGGACAGCCTCACACACAAGAATCCAATGGTGTGGGTTTGACCATTTAATTTGTTGAAGGATAAACTCAATGTATGGCCAAACACTGGATGGTGTCAGACCCAGCAGAGTACTGTGGAGTTTTAGCCCTGAAATATTGCAGGGTTCTCTTTATGGAAGTTTCCAAGAAGAATGGAGGAGATATAGAATAGCACTGTGTGACCCGAGCACTTATCCTTCTGCCCAAAAAGGCTGAAGAGAAGCTTGTACAGACAATATTGCGTTGTTTAATTTTTTTGTTATAATTCGGTGTGATGAACACTACACAGATCATGTTTATGAGAAAACCTTTGTAGAGTTCATCCTTCTGCAGGCCTTATCTGAGTGTACCTTTTATACTGTGTCAAAAAATAAATGACTATCTCTGACAGCCTTTGTCTGGAGGAGGAAGATATCGAGATTGTCATAGTTTTATCTATATTTTTTTCTAATGGGAATTTGATCAGTTCAAAGGACAACTGCAATGAGAGAAATATGGATGCTGCCATTGCTGACTGCCTCCTAAAAATTCGAGTTCAGTTACTGTCTCTGGCTCTAATGCTTTCAGTCTGCTATACACATGAAGCATATCAAGTCAGAATGGCTCGTTTGCATACTTGTTCCAGCTCAGTCTGGAGCCTCAGCCTTTGATTGACAGTCAGGCAAATAGCATTCTCAACAAAAGTCAACAGTGACTAAATATGTATTTCTCTCCACAAGTTTTGTTTGATTAAATGTATCTTATCGCTAGGAGGAAATGTGAATCTCACCATTTTCCAGAGTTTAAGAAAATCTATTCCATTTGAGAAAGCATCAAAAGCTTCATGCCATCATTAGAGATATGTCACCTCTCTTTACAGTTGTATGGCATCTGACAGGTGAGTCATGATTGGGCAAACTCATCATTACTTTGCCCAATCGTGGCTCTTACAGGGTACTGTGCCCTGATTGGGCAAAGTCTTGCACCTGACCTGTGGTCAGGTGCAAGGCTTTAGCCAATCAGGGCTCACAATGATCAGGTCAGATGCAAGGCTTTAGGATCACGATGCACAGTGCCTTTAATTCACAATCCTGCAATTTGACACCATAAACCAAGGGAACAGCAGAGGTCTTCTGGAATGTAGAAGCTGCCTGTCCAATAGTCCAATAGTCAGATCAACTATACCGATACATCTGGCCAGCCACACCAACAGAACAAATCTTGTGGGTCCAGCATTTCTATCAAAGAGGTTTTCAAGAATACACCTCCCAGTTTACTTACTTTTCTGTATCTCCTAGGTCAGCGGTTCTCAAACTGTGGGTCGCGACCCCGTCGGGGGTCAAATGACGATTTGCCAGGGGTTGCCTAGCGGCTCCCGGCCGCCCGGGAGAGAAACACTTTCTCCCGATCGAGCAGAGTAAACCTTTCTCTGCTCTGTTTTTTTTGTTCTGACATCAGGGCCATAAGGTCCCCTTCTAGTGATTGACAGCAGCAGAGGGCAGGTGCAATAGCTGGTTTGCAATTGGCTATTGCAAAGTGAAATAGCCAATAGGAATCTAGCTATGCATTCCTATGGTGTTTTTTTAAATTTGTATAAATTCTGACAGCGTACGGCGTACACATAGCACATCCGGCCCCATCCACCCCAGGAGCTGGTCACCAGCATAGTAGAGTGTGGAGGGAGGAGTACAGACTGGAGAAGGGGAAGTAAATATATCTTATCAGGGGTAACTCTCACGGTTTACACTGAACTCTATGGGCTGCTCTGCCAGTGACAGTTAATTTCTAAAAGTTCCCCGGTATGCTATTTACTGAACTTTCCCACTTCCAGTTTTAGCCTGTCTCTCCCCTGGCTGCTGTGGCTGGAAAAGAAGCTGGTGAAACACAATCTGTGGTTTATCAGCTTCAGTGGGGTCCATGGGTGACATTAGGGCCCCCAATGTCTCCATAAAGAGGACTTGTCACTTCCGTTATGCTATCACATAAAAGGCTTCTTAGCCCCTATGGGATAGCAATAAAGTTAGATGTTAAAAAAAAGTGTTTTTAAAAATGAAAGTGACATATAATAAAAAAGCCCTTCGCCTCATCTACATGCACATACAGATTTAAACGTGTGCTGCATGCACCTACATGCAAAAATTACAATTGTGCCACACACGTTACATATCTCCATAAATGTGAGAGCAATAATTTTAGGACCATCACTGTTTACTCTAACTTGATGAGTGGTAAAAGCTTTTAACTATCTACTTTGGGCAAATTCGAGAACTCCCGAGTGCTATTCATGAGTTTCCGAATGCTATTCGGGTCTGTGAGCCGAGGCGTCATATGAAAAGCATTATCACACTTCGGCTCACAGACTCGAATAATATTCGGAAACTCATGAATAGTATTCAGGAGTTCCCGAATGCTATGTAGCATTTGACAGCTGAGAATGTCAAATGGGCGAAGCGAGCCGCTCCTCACATCTGTTTACTTTCGGGTTGAATGCCATTTTGCGGCAAGTTTTTGTCGGGTTCGGATGGTTGTCGTACAGCGGGTGGGGGGGGGGGGGTCCCTCCTAACATTCCTACCAGACCTAAATGGTCTAGTATGAATTGGGGGGGAACCTCACGCTTTTATTTTTTTTCATCTTCTGCAGACTGTAAAAAAACAAAAACAAAATTTCGACCAGACTACCGCTAACCGCTAACTACTGACTACCGTTACTTTCGGACCCGAATCCAAAAAATGAAATAATGCAAAATCCGAATCAAAAGGAAACGAAAGTAAACAAATTTTTTGCTGGTGCACATGTCTACTATATTGTCTGGTATGGTAAAGTCTACAGAAAAGCTAAGGATCTACAATAGAAAATGTTATTACACTGCAATTATTTTTTTCCTTAATAAAACTGAAGCTTCACTTTAAAATAACCCGGTACATCATTGGTGTTTGTTTTTTAATCTGATATTAACATACCTAGTCTGCTTTGGAAAGTAGCACAATATACAGCAGTGCAGTATGATAGATTCCTTATTGCTATTCACTTCACCTGTAAAAATAAACATTCTGGATGTCGACTTCCATGTAAGAAAAGAAAACAGATGCAAACCACAGCTCCTCACTTCCAGCTGGGTAGCAAATGGATTTCCATAAAACTCTTGACCACTGTACATGCACCCCTGGCCCTCTTCAGCAATAATGCCCATAATTCTTTATGGGAGCCCCACGTAAATGGATATCAGAACATTGACATCTGTGTTTTACTTTATAATAAAGAAGAAGCACATGGGGTGGCTTAATTTTGTTGATAAAACTTTACTAATCCTTAAATAAATCAAGTAACCTAGATCATTGTTCATTCTGTCAGCTGAGAGATGAGCTATTTTTTGAAAGAGTTAGCCCTGAAAAAATCAGTGAGTGGCAAGTAAAATAATCTTTGCAATTTCATAACCTGCATGAAACTTATGAATCAATACTGTATCTGAAATATGCCTCTTCAATGAGGCATATTTCATGCCTCCTTGAAGGAGGCATATAAACTGGCAAATCTCAAACTTTCATGTTGTGCTGCCGGCCTGAATCTTACATGCAACCCTCAGACCGTGCAAGCCATTGAAGTCTACTGCTTCTTCCAGTGTGATCCCCCACTGAGAGAGGACTATGAGTGTACGTGAGTTAACATGGGTACTGGATGTAGTGCTGTGCCCAGTGTCAATATGTACAAGGTATTAAAGCAGACACGGGTATGAATGGAATATACACTCACTGCCCACTTTTTTAGGTACACCTGTTCAACTGCTCGTTACCGCAAATATGTAATCACCCAATCACATGGCAGCAACTCAATGCATTTAGACATGTGGACATGGCAAAGACGATCTGCTGTAGTTCAAACCAAGCATTAGAATGGGGAAGAAAGGTGACTTAAGTGACTTTGAACGGCCATGGTTGTTCGTGCCAGACATGCTGGGCTGAGTATTTCAGAAACTGCTGATCTACGGGGATTTTTACGCACAACCATCTCTAGGGTTTAAAGAGAATAGTCTTAAAGAGAAAATATCCAGTGAATGGCAGTTCTCTGGACAAAAATGCCTTGTTGATGCCAGAGGTCAGAGGAGAATGGCCAGACTGGTTCATATTGATAGAAGGGCAACAGTAACTCAAATAACCACTTGTTACA